TGCATCCCGGCGTGGCGTGTCTGGGGTGGATGGTATGGAAGAGGAGGATGAGGAGGAAAAGGAGGAATTCGTTCGATATGAAGACGAGGAAGTCTCACTTCCGTCAGGTAACGTTTGTTTCTTGTCATTATCTGCATGCGTTGGACCCTTTGCTGTTATAAGTAGTAATACATCATCTTACCTCTCTTATTGGGATATTAGCTGACAAAAAAGCCATCTGCACGGCAGAATGAGGTATGGTTCCATGCATAAAAGAATTTTTAAATGAAAAGTAGTGAGAATGAGTGAATCAGTCTATAGCAAGGGGATTTACTCACCTGGTTGTAATATTCTTGTTTTCCTTTGTGTATTTTCCGTATCAGAAGATTCACGATAAATAAAATTAATGCAGTTTTTTTGACCAATTTCTTTTCATTTCCTGAACTATGTGATCTCATACGTATCAGCACAGACGGGATAGGATTGGTAGAAAATGTCAACCGGTCTCATTCTCTGTATTCTTCCAAATGATGGCTATCACCTCATTTTGACATTGGTAGACCACCACCTACGAAAGAGGGCAGACATTTTGGGGAAAAGAGGGAGGCAGAAATGGAGGTGTAAATTGTATTTCGTATTTTTGCTCTAATGAAGTTTGTCGCATTAAGTGGTGGTGCAATGGAGAAATATCGCTTGAACTTTCTTACGAATGTTACCACCGGCTTTGATTTTATTACAAAAAGGTGCTTAAATTGCTTGTGAACGACAATCACCAAATGACAGCCGAGTTGGTTGACCTGATCCTTAACCCTTTGATCTCAGGCGTTTATTCATTCATATATTCATTTTACTAGACGCCACTATCGATAGCACTGTCAAAATTGCCTTATCTCGCCGTCGTGTTTCACTAGCAAACTAAACCGCTGTATAGTCCAAGCTTTGAATGAGAAGATGCCATCGTTTATTGAAGGAATAACACAACAGCAGTACAGACAGTTCTAGTAGCTGTAATCGTCCTCCCATCTGCATTTTGTAACTCGTGTCTCATGTAGATTCTTCTCTCTAATGCACCACTGCTACAGTAAAGACCTAATGGAGTTAGTTGCTACAGTTATTGTTACTCGAAGGTTTCAAAGCAGTTTCATTTTTTGCCACCTCCGGAAAATTTTCCCATATTTGTTATCTGCCTTGTAAATAGACCTTGACTTTGACCACTGCTGCAGCTCTGCAGATTTTTCCAGGGGTCATAAAAGTTGATCCGATTGAGTCTACATGTTCCAGTCACAGTAAACAAGTAGACTGTTTCCAGAAAAAAACAAGGCATTTTTTACTTTGTCCTTTTCGTACTTTAGAAGACGTCGGGTTGATGACTTGGAAGCTGAGTCACACATTGGATCCTGGCAAGAGTGGGGAACTCATCACCAAGATTCTTACCACTCGAAGCAACATGGTGGCAGAGGTTCTGGTGTCTCGCAAGTTCAGGGATATGTATCTCCATCGCTGTCCCAACTGCGGCCTGTTTGTCGATGTTAGTAGTGTCTTCACTCCTTTTTCCCTCCCATACTTATCAGCTTTTATAAATTTTCTCCTCTTATTAGACAGCGCATTGTTATGGAGCAGGTTTGGTGGAAATGCGAGGGTAGATTTTGATTAGCTAGCGGTTGTCAATTTTGATTTGAATTTAGTCGAATATCTACACACCGAGGGTAGGTGGAAGCGGCAAAAAGCGATGTGCTTCAGTGAAGAAGGTGTGGCCAGTGGGTTGCGGGTTCACTTCCAACTGATTACTTTAATAGTAAAAAACCGAATTGAAGTAAAAAGGGTGGATGATGAAGAGATGTAAACAACTGTACTGGAACCTAAGGAAAAGTGTTGAGCTTTTTGCGATTTTGCTTGTCCAACGATTGTGGGCATTCTGATGAAAAACGAGAGTTGATTTACGGAGTATTCCCTCCTAAATTTATTCAACAAACTCGATTTTTGTACTCGATTATTTCTTTGTCTACTTTGCAAACTACACTAAATTCGATTCTTATATCTCACTTCCTTTTATTTGCGATATTTTGTATCCACTTCCGATTCTACAACACTGAAACAGGATTCCTCCTTTCTAGAAATACAAAGGTTGCGATCAAGTTTTTTGTCTAATCTGCGAGAAACATCTTACCTTTGGACAACGATATTGATAAGGAGTAGGAAAGGCTCTGTTTCCACTACAATGTGAGCATTATCTACTTTGGGACTTAAATTGTACTTCAAATAAAAGTGAGCGGAGTTGTTAGATGCTGCTTTTTCATATGATCGGCATCGAGATGACTCGCTGATTGTAAGCTGTATTTACTTCCGTAACATGAGTAAGTTCGTTATTTGGATCTCGTAACAAAGTCATTTTCACAGGTCGGATATTTTGTTGACTCAATATCATACCAAGTATTTCTATTTTGTTATTTCCTTCCTATGTAAATCACTTCATTTTGATCGAGTGTCAGGTGCATGTGAAGAGGGAGTGGTGGTTAGAAAATCGGGAAGTCACATGCATGGGTGTTGATGAAGCCATGTAAGGGCATGGCAGTTGGCCCTAGAGCCATCGTGGCTTGATTATAAGCACACGGAGGCGATGGAAGAGAGGTGGCGAAGGCGGCACGACCTTGACTCCTTGCCGCAGCCAGGAAAGCTGACTTCCAAGAGACTGGGAGGCCTGTGTGATTGTGGATATACTAAAAACCAGTACCCATGTGCTACATTTTCACCTATGCCATTCGAGGAGAGAGTTTCTTGCGACAGGGTTGTCGACATAAATCGTGGGCA